GACTGGTACCTCAGTTCTTGTCTGCATAAATAAACACATCTTAAAAAAAATAAAATACATTTCCTAAGTAATTACACTTCTAATTTCAAGTTGGACATCTTTCATCCTCTCTCATATCCCTTCCTGCTCTCCTTCCCTCTTTCCTTCCACTTCAATATCTGGTTTTAGCCTTTGAATTATGTGAGGTATGTAATGGCCTGAACTGTGCCCAGCCCAATCCCTAAACTCATGTTAACGCGCTAGTCCCCAGTGTACTGACCGTATTTGGACCGAGGACACTTAAAGAATAACGGTGAAATGAAGTCTTAAGGACTTACATTGGACCCAACCCAATGGATTGGTGTCCTCATGAGAGGAGAAACTTTAGACAAACACAAGATCCTCCAGAGATGTGTGCGCAGGAGAGAGGGCACCGTTGGAGGCAGCATCGAAACCAGAGACAGCAAGGCTGAGAGGAGAAACCCAACCTGCTAACATTTTTTTTTTTTTCTTAGAGATTTATTTATTTGTGCCTACAGAACTAGGGTACAGGTCAGAGGCTCAGGGGCGGTGAGAGGCTTCACCGGAGACAGAGGGGGGAGCAGAACAGGCAGATGGACGAAGCACACTGCTGAGGGGAGCAGCGGGCAGGTCAGGAGAGGTCTGCCGCGTCATGTGGTCACCTCCGGGGCAGGCGGGAATCGAACTCATGCGGAAGTGGCTTTAGCTTTTTAGTGCTGTGCTTTAACTCGCTGCACTACCAGGGAGGGCCCCCTGCCAACATTTTGATTTTGAACTTCCAGATCCCAGGAGAGTGAGAAAATTAATTTCTGCTGTTTACGCCTCCCAATCACTAGCACTAATATAAGATATAAAATTCAGTTTCAAGTCCTTTTATAGAGAGTCTATTAGTTTTTTTCATTTGCATAATGAAAACCAGATCTTCCCCCAATGTAGGCACTTCTGAAAATAGACAAAATCTTGGGATATATAATGATTTTTATCTTCAGGGTAACTATACTTCAGCTATTTGTGAAATTTTGATAGCATAACATTGTACTGTTAGCATTTCTACATTATAGTGTAGATTAGTAGCTTCTACTTGTAGCCCTTGATTCACATTTAGGATTAATTTTGAAAAGCAAACTAAAACAATGTTGGTTTCAATTCATAAAGTCTGAAATTAGAGAATAGTTTTTGAATTCAATCTTCAGCTTTACAATTTGGGACTGTAACCCTTGCCATCCTTTTCATTTTTGGAAGCCAATTTTAGCATAGGAGAGTGAGCCAGATAATTCCCTGCCAAATTTGTTTCTTAAAGACCCAATTCTGTTAGGACTGAGAAAATAAATTCATACATTCATGTAACTATTTGTAAGTGTCCTTGCCAAGAAACAGCCAGTGTTTAGATGGGACTGTGGCTTTGAAATGGCAGAGCAAAGGTAGCTCTACCTTCCCTTGGAAATCACCTCAAAACAAGAAGGGGTGACATCACATTACTTATGTGCTGAATGAAAGCTGAGCCTGACACTTCAGACAAGCCGCAGAGAATAAGAAGAATATGGCTGCATAGACATCGATTCCTGGCCCAAGGAGAACAATGCAACATCAACTGGAAATAGGAAAACCACTATTTCAATCCAACTATAGTGGATTGAAAGGTATCGTGGGAATGTTCCAGGTCCTCCTGGGATACTGAGAAACTGGAGGGACAGGTCAGGGAGAGAAACTATAGCTCACAACATGATATTTATTAGGAAAATGAAGTATGGTTATATGTCTTGCTTTTTAAAAGTCACCTTCACAAGCATAATTTTTTTTTTAAAGATTTCAGAGATTTTTTTTTTTAATTTATTTACTTATTCATACAGAACTGGGGTATTGGCCAGAGATGCAGAGGGTGAGATGATTCACCAGAGAGAGAGTGGGGAGCAGAACAGGCAGATCAACAAAGTACACTGCTGAGGGGAGCAGTGGGTGGGTTAGGAGAGGTCTGCCGTGCCATGTGGATCTCTTCTGGGGCAGGCGGGGATCGAACTCATAAAGAAGTGGCTTAAGCTTCTTAGTGCTGTGCTTTAACCTGCTGCGCCACCAGGGAGGGCCCACAAGCACAATTTGGAGGGATCTGGTTTAAACTAATATACAGATAAATTAAAAAAAAAATAGACTAGATCTCGGTAAACAAATGCTCAAAATGAGTGACAGATACAAAGAAATGGCCAAAATTCTTATGTTGAAGTAGCTGCAGTGATAGGTTCTGCCTTCAAGGATGATGAAGACAGGTCACATTTGCTCTGGGCTGTCAGACAATTGTGTGACTTTACTTTCTGAGTACTCATTTTAGCCAGATAGCCTTAAACTTGAACATATTCAGAAAAGAGGCTCCCATGTTGATGTACTCAAGAGTAAGTTATATGAGGCACAGTTAAAGGAACTGGAGCTATTTTGCTAGAAGGAGAGACTCAAGAGAGGCATGAGAGCTGTCTTTGAGTATCCGAAGGGCTGTCAGGCAGAAAGGGCATTAGTGTAGCTCCCGATGATCTTGAGGGGACAAGGACTAATAGGAGAAGCTGCAGATAGATTTCAGCTCAGTACAACTGAGTACTCTGTAGCTGTCGGGGAGCACTGCCTCCCCTTTGGGGAGCAACCTGCCACCGTGGGCTGCTCCAGCCCACACGGCGTGATGACCTGTGTCCCGGCTGGACCAGAGACAGCAGGCAAGATGACCTTTACCTCCTCTCCTATAACCAACATCCTGTGTTCCAACGGACTTCGACTTCAGTGTTCACGCTGAGCATGGCTTGAGATCAGTTATGTGAAAGTGCTTTGTAAACGTTAACATGCTTCACACATGTGAGGTTTTGTGGCAATTATTTCATCACCTTGGAGGATTTCAATCTATTCTTGGTGAAACTTAGATTTTCTCTTCAAACTCATAAAGATTTCTAATTTATAAATGCCAGATTTCATATTATTATGACTACTATTCCCTGTCTGGAAGGATTTTAAAATTTCAAAATGTCTCAGAAATAATAATTGGTTCTTTTTAATAATGAGAGAAAAGTCTTATACTTAGTATGTGAGTCATGTTCCTGATCCTGTGGGTAAAGAAACAGACCAAGTGTTTCCACAGCACCTTCTGGGCCAGAACCCAATCACATCATAGCCTCCTCATAGAAATCTACTGGTTGGTAAAGTCTTTTGTGTCACAAAAAAGTCTCCACTTTTTGTTTATTAATAAGTAATAAACAAGCATGTCAATATATCAACCTCAGGGTCACCTCTCAGAATTTGGTATTTGTCCTTTATTCAGAGCGTCTTCAGCAGGTCCATCAACTGTCAGGCAATGAGAATATATGCTATTTGGTAGTACAGCTAATTCGTCATCAGCATTATATTGCAGGCATTGTGATCTGGAAAAGTTAATTGTCAGCTCACAGTTCTCACTCTATTCCGGGTACTCAAAAATTTTTCTCTACCAGATATCAATACCATCTTTAACAAGCAATGGCTTGAGATGTCATTTTGTTTCATTTCCCCCAGACTGCAGGGGATTTGACAAAGAGTGACACTGGCAAAGGCAAATTAGGAGAACCAGAAGAGGTTAAACTGGATACAGACGCTCCTGAAGTAATAAACTAAGTAAGGGGGCAGAGCTCATACCCAAACAAGTGTTCTCCAAAGTACTGAGGAATGTATTTCATTCCTGACTTGACAAACCCACAACAAAGGGATTCGGAGGCTGGAATTTATACAAGGCATTAGAGAGAAGGTAAAGCTTCGAAGAGGAGAATTGGGAAGTTTTTTTTGACACCCTTCTCTTTTGATGTATCATCGGGAAGGAGACAGATTTCTCAAAGAAGCTTTTCATTTATATTCTATTTGGTCTAGCACTTTTTGAGTGTTTATATTCTGTTAGTGAGGTTTAACCTTTAAGGTAGATCCTACTTCTTCACATGAAGATGCTGTCTGTGAGGAAAATTCTCCTGTTTATATTTTTACGTGTTGTGATTACAACTCTCTAATAATGAGTATTTGGGGAAACCACTGCCAGTTTCTAATGAAAAGTCAGGAGTGGGGGCTCTCTCTGGTTAAAGCACCAAATTATGAAGCTCTCTGAAGCTGCTGCAGCACAAGGTCAAACCCCGGCCCCGGAGGTGACCCACAAGGCACAGCAGACCTCTCCTGACTCGCCTGCTGCTCCCCTCAGCAGTGTACTTCGTCCATCTGCCTGTTCTGCTCCCCACTCTGTCTCTGGTGAAGCTTCTCACCACCCTTGCACCTCTGGCCTGTACCCCAGTTCTGTATGCATAAATAAATCTTTAAAAAAAAAAAAAGAAAAGTCAGGAGTGGACTGGAATAAATGGGGTCATAAACCACTAGCTAATCCTACCTCTAGCGTCCCCCAGCCCATTTTTTTCATAATATAATAGTTTGTTTTTACATCATTTTGTGCCTTCTTTACAGCTCAGTTGTAATCCTCGTGGGCACCTGTGTGCCATCACCATAGTCCCGTGCATTTCCCCCCACCATTTTTGATCCTTTTTTCCCACTCCACCCCTGTAAAATGTCTCTGGTATATAGTTATTCATTATTATTATTATCTTCTCCCCGGTCCTTTATACTCTTGCTATGAGTGAAACCATCCAGTATTTTTCCTTTTGTTTGTTTCTGCCCCAGCCCATTATTTTGTGAAAAGCATGCTACAAAATCAAAACAATGGAGGTTATCATTAGTGAAGCCCTTTATTGCATGATTGCCTCATATTAATCTAAACTTAACAGACAAGATCAGATTGAATGCTGGGACCACAGTAGATTGAACAGGGACCTGCTAGTGTTTGATAAATGTTCATGACTTAAGGAACAGGCATTGGAAGGTCACCATAGTCGATGTGTTTAATATCACTGCATTGATGCAGACCCAAATAAAATAAATACTGATTCCATGAAACAGAGAGTGATCTACAAGAAGCATGGGTTTCCACAATAATGCTCTCTATCCCGCAATACTGGACATACCTTGACTCCCATAGCTGGTGTCTATTCCAGAGCCATCCCACGAGTCCACAGCACTGTCTACACTGGGCACAGCAGAGGGGTACATGTCGGTGAGCTTGCCTGACTTCTGTGCAGGAGAAGTGTCCTCCTCCACGTCCCCCAGGTCACTCAAGTGGCTGGCAATGGGGAATTTCTTGGGACTTGAGGCTGACTGGGCTTTAAAGAGAGGAAAGGGTATAAATACTAGAATAAACGTAAGTAAAAGAGACTAAAACAGTTCTTGGATGAAGAGTCATTTTCCTAGAAATACAATAGACATTTGTAAATTCTTTCAGAGAAGAAAATGCACTGGAAATCCTTAATTGTGGCTCTCGATCTACTCACCATCTGTCTGTTTCTTAATTTTCAAGGTGACAGTCTCTCCTGCCATCTGTAGCAAATGAATGGCTTCACTCAGAGGCTTCCCTTTCAAGCTGCTGCTGTTGATGGCAAGGATTCGGTCTCCTATGTGGATTGCGCCAGTCCTGAAAAATCAAATAGTAATAGGAAAGGTAGAAATAATCCCTGCATGAAATTCAGTATAAATACTTGATATACTTTATATTGTAATAAAGTCTTGGCAAGGGTCTCTAGAAGCCACTTCTAGCTCTCTCCCGGGCACTGTTACAAGATAACTGCATCTGTTGTGAATTACTTTTTAGTTTCAAATAAAATTAGAAAAATTGTTTTAATTAGTATTTAAAATGTACTTCTGTGCTTTTTAAATTCCAAGAAAGCTGAATCATTTGGTAACCCTCTTAAAAATCCCAGGGAAACCAACATTGTTGGACAATAAATGTAGTGATGTTCAGAAGGGAACTTTCCTCCTTTCTACAGATTTAAAATATTGAAAATGAACAGCGCTCCCAGCTCACCAAAAGTGAAGCCCAGAGAGAACAGAACATACACACAACAATCCCTGTAGTGGCATCAACACTGCCCCCTGTTGGTTATCCCAAGAATAGAAAATGATGGCAGTAAGGAATCAAAGTGTGTTTGAACCTAACTCAAGCACCTCCCTGCTATGTGACCTGGGTATCTTATTTTAACCTTTCTGGGTGTCAGCTTTTTCATTACGAGAATGAGGATAATCAACTCACAAAGAAGCCTGGAGGATTAATTAGAAAAACATCAAACACACTCCTTGAAGCAAGAAAAAAAAAAAAACAAAAACCAACTTATCAATCAATATACCAAAGAGCTTTTGCTATTTTCCCTTTTCTTCCTTCTTCATCCATTACTGCACTTGGAGGTTATGTTCACTCTAGCTTTATTTATCTCCTAGAAAGCCAGCTCAGAGATGGTAGGAAAACCCAGATGTCTCTAGTATGGACTGACTCTCTCTCTCTCTACCTACCTACCTAGCTATCTGTCTAATCTATCTATTATCTATCTGTCTATCTATCTATCTATCTATCTATCTATCTATCTATCTATCTATCTATCTATCTATCTATCTATCTATCTATCTATCTATCTATCTATCTATCTATCTTTAAAAGATTTATTTATTTATACATACAGAACTAGGGTATAGGCTAGAGACAGAGTGGGGAGCAGAACAGGCAGATGCACTGAAATACACTGCTGAGAGGAGCAGTGGGCAAGGCAAGAGAGGTCTGCCACACCATGTGGGTCACCCTCCTGGCCAGGGTTGAACTCATACTGCAGTAGCGGCCATAGTTTCACAGTGCTGTGCTTTAACCTGCTGCGCCACCAGGGAGGGCATGTATGTGCTCTTAAAGTCCAGTAAGTGGAGAAGTTAACCCAGTTCACACTGTTGACAGTGGCTGAGTGCTCTGATTATAGCTTGATTCTTGGGGATGGGCAGCCTGTTGGGCAACAGCAATCAGGGCAACACCGAGGTGACACTGAGTCATATTCGTTCTTACAAGTCCACCCAGGCAACTACTCTTTTTTTTTTTTTTTTTGGGGGGGGAGTGTCTTTTCTTTGCATCTACTTTCAAGGGATTATTTTTCCCCTTAGAAAAGATCACTTCATTCTTTCATAAGGAATCTACAGTTCACAAACCAGAGAGATCTTACAGGGAAGGGAGACAGAGAGGGATCAGAAGGAGGGGGCAACATGGGGGCCTCTGGTGATGATGGGTGGGGAAGGGGGGGTAAACAGCGTTGCAAAATGAACCATAATGTCAACAGATTTTTTTTTATTTTAAAAAAAGAATCTCCAGTTTATGTGGTCCAGTCACCAAGCTGTATGGAGGTTCTTAAAAAAATGGATCAACCAGGCCCTCCCTGGTGGCGCAGCAGGTTAAAGCACAGCACTGAGAATCTAAAGCCGCTTCCTCATGAGTTCGATTCCCGCCTGCCCTGGAGGTGACCACATGGTGTGGCAGACCTCTCCTGGCCCGCCCGCTGCTCCCCTCAGCAGTGTACTTTGTCGATCTGCCTGTTCTGTTCTCTACTCTGTCTCTGGTGAAGCCTCTCACCGCCCCTGAGCCTCTGGCCTGTACCCCAGTTCTGTATGCACAAATAAATAAATCTTTAAAAAAAAAAATGGATCAACCATATGACCCAGTGATTCCTCTCCTAGGAACCTACCAAATGGGCACAAAAACACCAACTCAAATGGACACCTGCTCCCGTATGTATACTGCAGCACTATTTACAACAGCTAGGATATGGAAACAACCCAATGACCCCAAACAGATGTAGGCTACACACACACACACACACACACACACACACACACACACACACAATGGAATACTACTCAGCTATCAAAAAGACAGACGCATGCATTTGGGGCAACATAGATGGAGCTGGAAGGGATTGTGATCAGTGAAATAAGTCAAAAGGAAAAAGATAAATATCAGATGGTTTCACTTACATGTGGAATATAAAGAAAGCAAACAAAAAGTCAAGAAAAAGACAAAACTTGCCAGCTGACCAGAGATCAGAGGCACCCAGGAAAGGACGGAGAGGGATCAAAACAGGGATGGGAAGAGCACAAGGGACTATGGGTATTCGTTCTGGGTGCTGTGGTAGTGGAAGAACTACAAGGACCACACCTGAGGGGAGAAATCAAATATGCCTCAAAATTAACAATGTTGTAAGAAAGTTTAAAAAAAAGAACCCCCAGTTTATGAAACTCTATATTATAATCCATAGAACACCTTACCAGTAAGTTGATGAATGAGATCAGTATTTATCTTTTCTTTATTTCTAAAGTTTAATGGAGATACTTATGTCTGTCTACCAGAGAAAAAAAGGACAGAAGAGCACCTGACGTGTCTCCATTAATATCAGAATATGAAGTTCCAGCTTGGTAACCCTTGACGAGCTGCCTCAGTGCCCTCATCTGACAGATGGAGCTGCTGGATGAGCTGATTTCGAAGGGACTGTTCGGTTTCCAAATTCCCCAGTGATGCCTGCCCCTACTTTGTCAACCATGTCCTTAAGTGTCAGCACAAATGATGAATGAGCACTCCTGAGCTAGGTTACAGGAGGACAGATCTGTTTGGGGATTTGCAAACACAACATGTCACAGAGAGAAATGCATTTTAGCAGGGGTGGAACATAAGAGGCCTGTGAGCAAATGGAAGCAAAGCAACCTAAGGAGCAAATGAGCATTCCGAAGCACAAGCTCTTATTATGATGGGTCATTGCACTCTGTCCCCCAAAATTTTTGAAGAGGAAGCCGCTTACCTTCTCCTGAAAACACAGTTAAGTTCAATATTTGTCAGGGAAGGGAGGCTCGGGCAATGTTTGCTGAATTGAACTGGACAAGGCTTTTAACCTTCCTGAACTTTAGTCTCCTTCTCTCAAAATGGACACAATATAAATCTACCTCCCGTCGATTGTGGTCATTTATACATTTCTGGAGATTAATATCAAAGCTAAGCCCATGACATCTTTTACTGCCTTCTAGGTGAGTCAGGGCTCTGCCAGAGAGTTCTCAAGAGCTAAAACCCATCCTCTGTGTAGATTTCAAAGACAACAGATAACCAAGCAGAAAAGAGAAGTTTTTTTTTTTTTAATGTGGCTGTGAGCAAAAACCCATCCCAGACACAGATAATTGTAGCAGTTCCTTCAAATTTTACCTTTCAGCTAATCCCCCTTTAGTGAGGCTTGAAATGATTATAGGATCAAACGGCTCTTCGGTTCCTGAAATCGTGATGCCGAGGGGGCCCCCATAGCGCTTAAGCTCCACGGTATAAATAATTGCTCCAGAACTTTCTTGCTCATCTGCAATAAATGCCACGGAGTCAGAATTAGTTTCTTTGGAAAAAGTAAAGCAGTGAGACATAGATTCACACATAAAAGAAGAAATTCAAAACACCATCATTATGTCTCTGAAAATAATTATTTTGGGACGCAGCATTTCCTTGCTAAGATCTTTCATTGGAGGATGGGGATTCAGTCATCATTGGTGCCAGGGAAGGGGTTTAAAGTCTATGAGCGACCTTCTCAGTGCGCACTGCGGGTCTTTTATGCTGTGTTCATGTACCCAGGATTTTACAAGTGTGGAAGACCTGTGGAATGCACATATGGCTGAGGAGGTAATATGGGAAGAGAGAGTCACACAGTGAGTAACAAGTCAGCTCATGCAATTCTGATTTTCAGGCTTTGGAAGCAAGCTACCTTTCAGAGTTTTCTATGCCTTTTGTGGAAAAGTTGACATTGCTCAGGGCTGAAGCAAATGTTAACAAAAGAGGTTGGCTTGGAGACCTAGAATCCCTGACATATCGTCCCACTGTGGTTTTATAAAGTTGTGAAAATTCTGATGTATTTACAGAGATCAAAGCAGAAATCTGGAGGATTCTCTCTCTTCTGCTCTTGTGATCAAGAGCCAAGTGGGTTATGTTTCAGCAGCATTCACCAGGTTGCGACACTGTCACAAAAGCTCCCTTTTTGCTATTTCACATCAGTATAAAGGAAGACAGTTACCAATGCACTGTGCCTAAAGCACTGGCCTGACAGGGGTCCTGGGCGCAACTTCAACAGAGTTGGGTGTTTGAACTGTCAGGGTTGCAAAGATGAAGTCTCAGAAGTCAAAGGATTCTTACTTGCTTATAATAAACTTAAAATTCTTGATCATTTCTTGTTTTATTCCTTGGGTCTGGGATGGGAGCTGCAACTGGTTAAGGAGCTATTTTGATTTCTGTATGAAAGGGTGTAATGAAATGGTCCAGTAGCTACTTTAACAAAATCATCACTTTTACTATCAGACTGTATCATAATGAAGCATTAACACAGTCACGTTTCTGCAATAAGCAGCTGTTCCTTTATGATATGAAACCCTAAAATAAAGAGGAAAAGAAAAGCTTGAATTAACAATTCAATTATCTGTGTGTGCCGTGAAGAATCACAATGAATATCAAACGAAAGGTCTATAGATGGAGAATTCTGGAACAGACTCATCACCTCTACTTCCTCAATGCTCTATTCCTAATAAGCTCCCTTTATATAGAAAGTTAAAGACCATCTTTCATATAACCACATTGCTTAATCAACATCTCAGGATATAAAAATCCTCAGTGTTAGACTCAAATTTACACTGACAGCTGAGAATCAAGCTGCCTCAAGCTTTTAAAAACTGTTTGATGGTTCACAAAGTTCTTCCAGGCTTCTATTTAGGTGGTGGCCAACAGGACTGTGAAGGTCTGAGAAAAGCAGCAAGCTACAGGATAATAAAAAAAAGAACAGAAGCTAAAATTAAAAGTACAAATTTCTTTGTACCATGACATTTCATCATCCTTCAGAGCTGCTATGACATAAATAGTATTACTGAATAGACTGCATAGTCTTTGCTGTCTGCCACCAACTATATTCTGGATAAAAATTCTAGATGACTTATTTGATTAAATACTGGTGACAGCTACGCACTCCAAGTGACCGCATTCACTTCCCTGAGGGAAAACCCTGATCTTCTGCTCTCCCCTTACAGGGTAAGCACGTGCATGGCCTAGTGAATGAGTCCCGGCTTTCTAGATTTGGCTGTCAGCTTTGTGGGAGTTGTGGGGCAACACAGCTCCCCACTACCTAGAACCTCACTATCCAGATCCCAGGAACCCACAGGAGGTTTCAGCTGAAACTTCAGTCTCAGATGAAAATAACCTGACAGGAAGCTGAGTTTGGGGGTCATCCCAATCACCCGGAGAAGAGGAGAAGCTGTCTCTAGTCAGCTGATTCTTCAGGCAAACCACAGTGAGTGCCCTGTGTTATTTTTAAACAATTCTGCAACTTGCATCACAAAGACGACAAAATAACATCCGAGATGAAGTAAATATGTTTAGGTCATTCAAATTTAGACCAATTTTTGTGGGGATGTTTTTAATTAGGCAGCCTCATAATAATGGAAAGGCAATTATTAGGGCACTCGAGTCTAAAGAGAGAGAAATGCAAATCAAGTAACTGGCAGCATCTTATCGCACAAGGATGTACACTGGGAAGAGGAGAGCTGGATTTAGATTATGACAGAAGCTGATTTCTGATTTTGTCAGCAAGTACATGCCAGAAACAGAAAACAGAAAGGGGAATTTAAGAGCCATTACGATCAAAAGCAATGAGTACATCTTTTAGGGCCAACTGCTTGAAAACACATTTCTGTCTGTCTTTGAAAACTAAGGAACACGGGGTCACTATATTATGACATTAAGAATTATTACTAGGAAACCCTTGAGAGGTGGATTAGTTAGAGGTTTAGAGGAGTACAAAGTGGTTTCTGGAACACATGTTACATCCCACTTCTTGAGCTGGTTCTGGTTATGTAGCTGTGCTCTCTTACTGAAAATTAGCTACACACTATGATTTGTACATTTTTTTCTTATCTATCTGTCTGTCTGTCTGTCTGTCTATCATCTATCTATATCTATAAACATTTGATTTAGGCAATTTTTCAAAAGTGAATAAACAATCTTGCTATAGCAAAGTAATTATTTCTAGTATTTTGACATTTGATATTTAGTGATGTTTCAGAAGTCTTTTAAAAAACATCATTTAAGAACCTTTACGGCCCTCCCTGGTGGTGCAGCGGGTTAAAGCTCAGCACTAAGAAGCTAAAGCCACTTTAGCATGAGTTCAATCTCCGCCCTGGAGGTGACCACATGGCGCGGCAGACCTCTCCTGACCCGCCCGCTGCTCCCCTCAGCAGTGTACTTCGTCGGTCTGCCTGTTCTGCTCCCCACTCTGTCTCTGGTGAAGCCTCTCACTGCCCCTGCACCTCTAGCCTGTACCCCGGTTCTGTATGCATAAATAAGTAAATATTACCCAGCAATCAAAAAAATAAACTCATGCCTTTTACAGCAACATGGGTGGAGCTGGAAGGGCTCATGCTTGGTGAAATAAGCCAGAAAAAGAAAAATACTAGATGGTTTCACTCATAGCAGGAGCATAAAGGACCAGGGTGGAGGAAAAATGATAATGAACAACTGTATACCAGAGACATTTTACGGGGGTGGAATGGGGACTGGGATAAAAAATGTGGGGGGCAAGTGCACTGTGGTGATGGGGTGATGGCACACGGGTGAACTGGTGATGAGAAGCCCACGGGGATTACAACTGAAATGGAAAAGGCACAAAATGATGTAAAAATAAACTATTATATTATGAAAAAAAAAAGAAAAACAACAAAATCTTATATGGGTGTCTTGAGAAAATAGATATCAAATCAGTCTGGCTTCCCGGCTTTTGTAGGGGATGCGTGCTGGCTGCCTACATACTATTTCAACCACACCGCTGGCCATCTGCCCACCAAGGGTCTCCCCTGCCTCTTGCTCTGGAGGACACCCTCATCGTGCTTTGCCTAGTTTTTCATGACAATGGAGTCTTCTGAAATTGCCTCCCTTGAGAGGCAGCATTTGCCCCAAGTCTCCACATTCATTTCACCAGTGCTGCTAATCTATAGGTCTCTTTGGGTATTTTTTTTCCTTTGTGGAATTTTTTTTAAAGATTTATTTATTTATGCATACAGAACTGATGTACAGGCCAGAGGCGCAGGGGTGGTGAGAGGATTCACCAGAGAAAGAGTGGGGAACAGAACAGGCAGACTGAGGAAGTACACTGCTGAGGGGAGCAGCGGGTGGGTGAGGAGAGGCCTGCCAGGCCATGTGGGTCACCTCCTGGGCCAGGAATTGAACTAATGCTAAAGTGGCTTTAGCTTCTTAGTGCTGCGCCACCAGGGAGGGCCTTTTGTAGAATATTTTTAAGGCACAAATCTGAATCTGCTAGCTAATGGCTCACTTGAACTCTTCATTCATGCCCCATTTTTTAAAAAAAAGTATTTATGCATGTAAGAGCTGGGGTTTAGGCAACAGGTGATGGGGATGAAAGAATTCACCAGAGACAGAGCAGGGAGCAGAACAGGGAGATTGACTGAAACACACTGCTGAGGGAAGCAGTGAGTGATACAGGAGAGGTCTGCTGTGCCATGTGGGTCAGCTCCCAGGTGTGGGTCAAACTCGTGCTGCAGTGGCTGCGGATAGCTCACAGTGCTGTATCTTAACTCCTGTGTCACTAGGCACCAGGCACATCCCCCAAGTCTCTAAAAAATGCAATCCTTTCAGAGCTTAATGGAAGCCTCTATGTGTCCAGAGGCTCACACATCCTCCCTCATCCCAATCTAGTCTTCCTAATTCTCTCCTCACCAAACCACTTGCCCTTTCTTAAAAAGCCCTTTTCTATAACAAAAATAATGAACAACCATATACTGGAGACATTTTGTGGGGGTGGAGTGGGGAATGGGATCAAAAACGGGGAGGGGGGAGGGAAATGCATGGGATTATGGTGATGGCACACGGGTGACATGGTGATGGGAAACCCGCGGGGATTACAATTGAGATGGAAAAAAAAAATGTACAAAATGATGTAAAAGTAAACTTTTGTAATAAAAAAAAAAAGCCCTTTTCTAACTTCTTTAACCTTGCACATATGACATCCTGTGCATATGCACTTTCCTCCCACCTGGAGGAATTTCTACGCTTTCAAATGTTGTTCAGCTGTCTGCTCTTTCTGGAAGGCTTTCTGGCTCCTCAGGGGGTGCTCAGGCTTTCCCATGAACATCTCCAGCTCCTGCATATTCTTGTGGTGTTGTTCAACTCTGATCTTAATTCTGGTTCTTCTTCCCCTCCCCAAGGAGAAAAATCAAATTTATTTATTTTTAAAGATTTATTTATTTATGCTTACAGAGATGGGACACAGGCCAGAGGTGCAGGGGTGGTGAGAGGTTTCACCACAGACAAAGTGGG